GAATCTAAATAAACTATTCTATGGATGATATTTTAATTGCAGGTTATTACTTTGTTTCATATCGTGTCCTCGAACATGCCTGGGAACACTGCAAGCAAAGAATAGCTGACAGGCAAATATTTTCTGCAGATTGCTGCAGTTTCTACTTACACGTGTAACCTCAGTTCCAAGGACTATCCAGATGATTCACTGCAAAAACCCTACAATAGTTTATTTAGATTCACTAAGCATGGTGGTCAATGCAGTTGTGTGTTGTGAACTACAATGTTTGGGGCTGGGAGGGGTGGAAAAAACTCCTACTTTTTTATTGTTTTTAATTCTGAACATTCTGAGAAACATAGCATTGCAGCGATATTAGAGAATGGTTGATAACTTTTTAAAAAGTATTTTTAAAATTGAGTTCTAATTGTGGCAGTAGGTTTATAGAAAGTAGGCAACACTTTACCACTTAAATTGAAGAGGGGAGAGAGGGACACAGATAAAAAAAATAAAACTATGGTATCAAAAACTGCCTAAAGTCACCTAGGTGATTGAGACAGGATACAAATAGATAAAAATAAATACTGGTCACTACATTTCAGTAGCACCATCTAGTATAATTGGGAGCTACAAAAAATAGGAAAAGGTCCCCAACCAGTCCCACTTTGGACATGAAAGCCAGCTGAATGACCTTAGGGCAGTCATTCAGCCAAATCTCAATAGAATGGGAAGGGTATTATGTATGTTTGGTGCCTTGAGTTATTTATAATAATAATAAAGACTGGATTAATAAAATATTTAAAAAAACACATGGGCCAATAGTTTAATTTGAGTGGTCCTTTCTGACATGATAATCAACAATCTATGGGTAACCCAAACCATGGATCAATATACGTGAAACCTATATGTGATTTTTCCTACATCTTGCCAAACTTAACTTCTTAACTTGCCCTGAAGTATTGTTGAAATGAGACTGGTACATTACAGGAATGTTTACACACTGAACAAAGCAAGCATTATTAAATCCACATTTGTATTATAAGCGGATAAATAAAAACATACATAAATTCTAAATTGTTTAGTCCCCTCTTTTTTGCAACACTACACCTTAAAGCTCAGTATAGCAGAGGAAATAAAAATAGTCAGTTTACCTAAATGTTGACAAAGAGCCTGGATGACATTGGTGGCAGCAGCATAGATGCCTGGGTTCTTAGAATTCAGATTGTTATCAACCAAGGCAGGAATTAACATGTTGATAACAGGAGATAGTTTCTCTTTCAACAGAGGAATCAACTGGTGCATGGTCTCTAGAGCAACCTGATTGACTTTGCTATTTGAGTCATGTAAGCGAGACTTGAAGGCATCAAAGATCTAGATAGACACAATTACAATAGGTTGAATTATTTTCTTTGACCAAATATATATTTAAACTGACAGGTTTAAAATGTGGCATCCTATGAAAATATGCTCAGGTCCCAACTGTTCTAGTAATTTCAATGTAAAACCAAACAAGTTCTTTTTTCTTTCATTTTCTTTCATATATTGCTGCACTGGTGGAATGTACTAAATAATTGTTGGTCAGTCAAAGGATAGCAAATCCCATTGTAAATCAAGGACATACAACTCTTGTGACCAGTTTTAAAGTTCTTTAACCAATATTCTTCTTTGCTCAAGAATACCTAAACCCGCAACTATTAAAGGAGTTTGAACTCCAAGAGATATCCAATCCCTTAAAGAATATCTGATAAAGAAATATCACACAAAAGAAATATATAATAAACAATGATGCTTAGGCTGATTGATCTGCTCATTTAAGGCAATTCATTTTGCAATATAATAGTATGGGTTTAACAAAATGCATGATATAAGGACATAATAGAAATAATTTGCATTAATAAAAATATATGAAGAAATACTATGACTGGGCTAAACTAGATTTAGCCAAATTTCTTTTGTATTTATTTCCTTTCCTTCCCCCCCCCTTTATTTCTCATTCATTTTCCATACTTTATGTAATGTTGCTTACACAACAAAATGCAATGGGCATGCATTTATATTTACGTTCCACCTGATAGTTATTTTATTTCACTGCAATGCTGACAAAGAGTAACCTGATTTATGTAGCTATCATTTTCTGTATAAGCACTTAATACTGCAATATATATACATGGAAAATACTGACATCTTACTCATCTTATATTATGGTTTTACCAGAAGTTAAAAAAATGTACTTTAATGTGTTTTCTGACTAAATTGATCATCATATTATTTGAATCAACACAATTCTGCCAAAGCTATGTTTAAAAAGTTTGTAAAATTGAACTTTATATCAGTATGTTTAGAAAGGGACAACTGAAACATTTGCTATTCAATATTTTAAGTTCCAACATGCCTAAAGCTTTTGAAGAAGTAAACTGTGGTTCATTTGTACAAGATAATGTAATCAAAGTTATTATGTAGCCTCTGAAACAATGAGTTTGAACTGACCTGTCCTGTCCTGATAAACTAGTGAAAGTCATTTCGAGTAACATGAAACTATTTTCCTATAATCATAAATTAATATAACAAAAAGTTTTGCTGTGTGTATTGAACACTTCAGATGTTTGGGGAGTGAAATGAGATGCAATGATTTTGCCATTGGAAGTAAAAATGGATCCAAGGTGACAACAACAATCCTGATAATTCAAGTCCCAAATTTGAAAGTAACAACCATTGAGACTATATTATTCCAACTCCTGAAGATAACTTTGTTTTGCTTGACAATATTTCTAGTATCTGGAATCTACTGTATTTCCCCCCAAATAAGGCAGGGTCTTATTTTCTTGGCCTTATTTTGGGGGAGATCTTATTATTTTTGAGGTGCAGGAGGCAGCAAGCGTGGTCACCTCATGGTTCCTGTTGTGTTGCAATATTTTCGGAGAAGGCTTATTTTCAGGAGAGGACTTATTTTAGAACATGCACTCAAAAACATGATAGGGCTTATTATCCAGGGAGGTCTTATTTTTGGAGAAACGGGGTATCAGGACACAAGAATCAAGAGTATACTTTTTGGAGGTGTTCTGTTTATCATTTCCAGGCATCTCTTCCTTTATTTTGTATTCTCACCATTATTAAGTTTGAAGTTTCAATATATTAATATTGTTTTAATTATTTATATTTTTTCTTCTCAACTATTTTGATATAGTAAAATAAAATATATTTTAAACATCTCAATTTTAGAATAACAATATGTTGTTTAATGTGGTCCAGAAAAAAACCAAGGTACTGGCAAGTTTTATGCCTTAAGCTTAATCAAATATTTTATATGACAAATCATGCCTTACTTATGTCAACAGTCTTTCTTATGTTGCACCTGCCATCTTGCAGCTACCAAGAATACATCCTGCAGTAGGGTTCTGTGTGACAAGATATATTCTGGACAGCTGCAGTATGACAGATGCAACACATGAAATACATTCTACATAATTCTGCTTTCTTAATATTAGGGAAGCTCAGGAAATAGAACTCAAAATAACACTCTTGCCATGTCATGTTCTTGCTGCCAGAACAGACAATACTGGGCTACATGGACCAATGTTCTGACAACATATAAGCCTTCTTTCTTTATCTTTGCTCCCTCCCTCCAACTGTAATTATGATTCTATCTACTGGGTTATTGATTTACTTTATTTTTCCTTATAGCCATTGTTTCTTGCATTTATATTACATTTTTTCAGGGTAAATAGCATAATTTATCACATATGTAATTTCCTGCCAATTCTAGAGAGAACACTGAAGATTCTGTTGTAACCTATATAACATTACCTTCACAATGTTCGCAACAACAAGGTCTTGGTTGTTCTCTGTGTCTGCTAACAGTTGTTTAATTCCATTAATTCGATCGCGGAAATCTTTTGCATTCAGTAAAGTTGTTATAAACTTTACATATTCAGCACTTTCCAAAGCATTACGAGGAACTAATTTCCTGGATATGTCACGTATTTCTCTAATCTCTCTGTTGAGAAAAATAATGAGAACATTCTGTAATTGTATAGTTCAATCTCCTGTATAGGGCAGTACATGTACAGAAAGATCCATAGTCCATGGATCTTTCTATATAAGTACTGTATTACTTTAATAGATTTAAAGTTATTAAATTTATTAACTTCTAAAAGAAAAACAACAACTGAGAGATCAGGTCGATTATAACATTAGTTTCATATGAGCTAGAAATCAAATCCTGAAAATGTCTATTTGTAACATGAATAGAAAGAAGTGTACTTACTACTGAGAGTTTAATGCAACAATAATTCATATAAAAATTAAGTGAGAAAGAGGGACTCAGAAATTATCAACTGCAAATCCAGAAAGCTCAGTACTAGGTGTATACAATCTCAACTGAAGAATTTTTCATTGATCTGGAAAATATTTCTATCCTTCTGATCAAGTAGTGATTATGGTGAAACCCTAAGCAATTCCATTAAATGAAAAACCATCTACTGTAGAAAACTGCTATTTTGAAAATAATTATATTCCTTGGATGATTTTTTTTTAACTTAGGTACAAGCTTTGCTTTTACAGAGTGTCAACAGTGACAAACCAGATTGTTATTTTAACTTTTTGACTTCTCACAAACAAAATGCATAAAACCTGACAATTTAGTTATTAAAAAAGAAGCAATCATATCATGCACATAAGAAGGAAGTTCTGAAATGTTAGTTTGGTATTTTCTTTTGTTCCAATTTTTCTACGCCTAGTTTACAAACACACTCCATGTTCAATTTTCCACTTATATTGAACAAGAGCAAGAAAAACTATCACACCTATTTATACATAGCAACTGTATAATTTGTTTAAATAAACATTATTTTCTTTTATATTTGCAACATATGAAAGAAACTATTTAGATGAAATCTTTGAATCAGGAGGGCACAACCATACCTGTCACTAGCACTAAGTACTTCGCGTGACATGTTTGATCTTGAATTGTCTATGTTACCAGTATGAGAACGCCTTCCTTTGGCTGAGGGTGTAACTATTGGCATCTCCCCAAGTCCCTGAAATTATGTAACAAGAATAAAAAAATGTTTATTTCAATTCCCTATATATTATCTCATATCTCTAATATAACATCATGAAAGAAGAGCATGTTTATCAAATATGGGTTCTTGTCTCAAAAAACTTCAAACCCTTGTAAATACATAAACACAGGAGAAAGTACAGGAAAAGAGAAAATGTAAAATGTAAAGCAATAAATGAAAAAAAATGTCATAAAAACAGTTTATATGCTTCTGAAAAAAATAGGCTTAATGAAGTAATTTAAAGTTTCCTCTGTGCTAGAGGAAAGAACTTGATGGAGTTCCAAGATTCAAAACGTATTTTCAAATTGAAATCCAAGTGCTACGAAATAGGTGTTCAGCCTTAATAGATATCAAAGATTAACACAGTCTAATTAAATAACAAAAGCATAACTATATTTTAAATCAGGGACTGCAAAAGACATTACTTAAGAAAAGTTTCTCATAGAAATGTAATAGCATACATGTGCTAAAGAGGAACTGGAAAAAGAACTTTAAATTAAATCAAAAGACAGAGAGGTATAATGATACTTAAAATACTGCAATACATTTTAAAATACAAATGTAATTATAAATTTATCCAAGCCATATAGCATCATGTTCAGTTTTTATCACTCCCAAAATTAATAGGAATTTATGGCTTAGTTTTATTCAATCTTATTTTGGAGTCCTTTTTAGCATACCTTCTGACGCAAATTGCTGACTGTCTCTTTAACATAAGGCAAATCCTTTGGCAGCACATGCTTTTCAAGCATTTTATCGAAGTCTGTGTGTGTCATCAAAGTGAAAAGCATCTTTCGCCCATAGTATCTACAAACATCACAAAATCAGTTTTATTAATACATATAATCATGAAATTAAAAAAAAAATCATTACTAAATATACTTGCTTTAGGATGCAGTCATACAAAGCTTGGATACTTTGTTTTTTTCTAGATATAGATTTCTGCTTTCTGGAGATGCTTGAAAGCAGAAATCTGGAATATCTAGGGAAAAAAATTATGACGCAACATACTAACCAAATGTGAGTGATATGTGATTCTGTATCTCCCTACCATTCTTGCATACTTGAAAATCAACAGACTTATGTCGCTATTTACTAGTTTGTGAAATGAGAATAATAGTCTCCAATCAAATCTGTGAACATACACAGTAGTATCAGATGTAGGAATTTATATTTTAGTTCCATAAAAAAATATCTGATGACATTATTATTTCCCATAAATGTAACTGCTTAAGCAGAAGGACTTAATTCATTAATGTGATGGGCTAAAAACCAAATACGCAACTACTTTTCATTTTTTTACATTTTTCCTCACATCAATATTTTGGAATTTCTCATCTTTTGTCAACAAAGTTTTCATTTCTCTCTCCTTCTAGCATGTAAAACACCCTGTAAATGAGACATCCTGAATGGAGAACCAAAAGACCACTTTTTATAGAAATCTAAGTCAATAAGAAACTACAAAAACTTAAATCAGTGTTTTCCTGTATGAGATAAAATTTCAAACCTGAAAATGCCTTTTGGAATTCTTAGTTTTTCTTTGATTTGTCATGCAAGCTTGATATTTCTTCAAGAATTAAGATAGAAACTTGAGCTTTCATACAAAACAGAGTCTAAAACATGTTCATGTCCTTGCTTATTTTCAAAAATCATGCCATTCAGCATTACCCCTCACTCTCTGCATTGGCTCACCTTGTTTCTTGTGAACCATCCTGGACAAATTTGGCCACAGCAGACAAAATCTTGTCAGTTATATCTTTAATTCCAGACAATATACGCCCTGGTCCCATGTGCTCTACAACATCTGACAAATGTTGGGCAGTGCATCTTCTTACTGCTGTATTTAAGTGGCTGGTAAGAATAAAAGGCATATACAGTTTAGAAAAATATATGATTATTATTTATTGCAACAGTGATGCTGAAAGACCTTTTGAAAATGCTTATGCATTTTATATCTGAACCAAGATAACAAAAGCATAAAATCCCAGATATCTGGAGCTAAATTTAATGCATTTGGCTAGCAGCAATGCAAGGCCCTTTATGTAGTAGACCCACTCCAAACAACAGAATTCCAGATTAAAATGCAGGTGTGTTGTAGTAAAAGGAAGTTAGCTAATGTCTTTCTTTTTGGTCATTAAAGCTAAGCAAATGTTTTAAATAAAAGAGAAAAAATAACAATAGAAGAACTCATGCTAATAAGCATGCTTGAATATTTTCTTGGATAGCCATTACTTCCTTATATCTTGCCTTTCCACTATGGCTTCCAAAATGGATTACAAAAACGCTTAAACCAGCTTATGAACAGCGCAAGAAGGGAGTAAAAATAGTTTATTAAAGACATAAGGAAATATAGGCAAATCTAGTTTACACCTGAACCATCCATTCTACCTTTCCATCTTTGATTCTATCATGTCTGTACACTGCCTCATACATTTTTATCTCTTTTTCAAGAGATAATCAATTCTATCCATCTATAGTGTATGAAAAAACCCACTTCACCATAGCTTTTTAGGTATTGTTCAATCACTTTTATAGTTTATTCTCATTCATCCAGCATTCTTTCATTCTTGACCCTATTCTTGTTTTACCTCACACTTCTTGAGTACATCATACAAGAGTAACCGCTTATGTAGTCACAAGGAATGACACAAAAAACAAATCAGCTTTTCACTAAAATTAAAGATAGGTAGAGATCATTGCTCTCATCTGAATGAGAGTGGTCTGTGGCCTATACATATTGTGGACAAGAAAAAGAGATCTAACTGTTATTTTCCTATATTCCTCTTTACAAAATATTCTATCTAACAATTTATCTAATTGTTCAGTTTTTTCACTATTTAAGTGCAGGTTATTATACTCATTCCATTTTCTCTATTAAACATAGTTATCTCAGTGTTTGCTACATAATTTTTCAATGCATCATGCAATCCACCGCTCACTGCATATATTTTATGTTTTCAGACAAAATATCACTTGCAAGTGAAAGTAAATACACATTCATATTCTCAACAATCATAACATTATCTTCATTATCAATAATCTTTATACATTTAACCTAAATTATTTTAAAAAATCAAGGGATTATCACACATCCCTCACGTATTTCTTGCTAAATTGTCCACTAATTCATTATTATCATGCATGCATTACTTCCATGATATATTGCTATAACCATATTCAGCAATCTTGTCTCAACCCAATATAAATGCAAAATGTTCCATAATTTGAACAGATTCACTTTACAGTATGCTTTCTCTAGATCAAGAAATGTACATTTTATTTTTCCCATTCATACATTTCTCAATGTCTCACTCAAGAGGTAAAATATGCTCTATACTCTCTGTAGTTGGCATAAAGCCACATTCTACTTCTCAAATTTGCTCATTTTCATATCTCATACTATGTTTAAAGGAAAAGAAAATTCTCTTAGATGATTCTTTAGAACTATAATAAGCTGAGCTCACTTCTGATAATGGTTAGATTTGCTTGACAGTTCTATCTATTTTATTTTAAGCTGAGTCAAAAAAGCCTCTGAAAGATCATAATTCAAAATTCTACCTTTGACCTCCATTGATCAGAGAAGAAAGAGCACGTGCAGGAGTCACATTATTAACCATAGCTTTCAGTGCTTTGTCAACGTCTTCCTTAATGAAGGTGTTTGATTCCCCAGCCTTATGCAAAAGGACTTTAACTGTATTATCTAGTTCTTGGTCCATGCTTTTTTTCAGGTAGTTGAATAAATCTCCTAAACAAACAACCGCAGCTCGGGAAACAACAGAACGTAAATTTTTCACCTATGAAAAGAAAGACCTGAATCAGCAACAGTTGGAAAAACATTGATGATTTTAAATCCCCCCACCTTATCCCCCATCAAGCCATTACATTATATAAAATTATATGTGTATACAAGCATGTTATATGGGATATCACAATAAATGCAACAATATTGCATATTTTACATTAATACTATGTTGGCTTTAGTTGTTTAATTCCCTTCCTACAAACATGGCTGTCCTCTTGGAATTTACAGTCAGTCAGAGGAATGAGTGCTGAAGTGGGCCAGAAACTATAAATTGATGCATCATTGGCACACGGAGGCAAAAAATCATTTATCTGAAAAAGAAAGAAACTGGCTGAAAAAGTCCCTCCTGAAATCCAAGGATTTTCTGCTTGCATTTCGGGAGAGGCTTTTATCAGCCAGTCGCCAGAAACCAGAGGGATTCCTTTTGGGTAGATGGCAGTGGCTTGCAACCATTGCCTTTATGGGGAAGTCAGCAGAGATGATTGCACATGGTGACCAAATGATCATGGCCCTAAATATGAATGGGTTGCCAAGCACCCAAATCACAATCACGTGACTGTCAGGGAGCTGCAATGGCCGTACATAAGCCCTTTCATTCAGTGCTGTTGATAATTTCAAACACTTGCTTAACGAATGGTCCTTAAGCGAGGATTGCCTATATAGGTAGTCCTTGATTTATGGTAGTAACTGGAATTTCTGTCACTAAGCAATGGAGTTGTAAAGCATGAACGCACTGCTTAGCAATCTCTGTGATCCTGGTTGCCATCATTAATCAAATTTCACAGTTGTTAGGTAAGGCTGCTTCCTGCCAGCTTCCCACAACCCAAACAAAGAGGGTCTGAAGGGGTGTGTGAGCAGCATGGCGTGGGTCCCACCACTTGTTCAACGATGTCATAACATGGAATTGTTGTACATTTGCATTTGGGTCAATATTAAAGATTTGGGGGGGAAATGACATTGCCATAGGTTTATACTACAGGCCACCCAACCAAGCAGAGGAAGTAGATGAACTTTTTGCTAGTCAGCTAACTAAGGTATGTAGGAAGCACACCACAATAATAATGGGGGATTTTAACTAGCCCAACATCAACTGGGAAACAAACTCTGCACCAAGTGGAAGATCCACAGGTTCCTAACAAACCTAGCAGACAACTTTGTTTCCCAAAATGTAGAGAAGGGAACAAGGGGATCGGCCATATTAGACTTAATTCTCACTAGCAGAGAGGAAAGGATAGAAGGTGTTGAAGCCACAGGAACCCTGGGGGCGTGACCATGCAATATTGGAATTCAACATTATGCAAACACAAGTAGTAGAACAGAGTCAAACTAGAGTCTTGGATTTTAAGAGAGCTAATTGCAATAAACTTAGAGAGAGCTTAGGAAGAATAGCCCAAGCCTGTAAAGATGAAGTAAGGAAAGCTAAGGCTCACAATGAAGAAAGGCTTGCCACAAAAGTAAAAAATAACAAAAAAAAGCTTCTTTCAACATGTTAAAAACAAGAAAAAAGTTAAAGAAACAATTGGTGCATTACTGGGAGAAAATGACAAGAAGGTGACAAGCAACAGGGAGAAAGCAGAACTATTTAACTCATTTTTTTGCATCTCCCTTTACACAAAGGGATAAAACAATCCAACCTATCAAAAAAAGCACCACAAAAATCAGATTAGAAACACAAATTGAAATAGGGAGAAAATGGTGAGCACCTGTCTACCTAGACAAATTCAAATCACCAGGACCGGACGGATTACACCCCAGGGTTCTGAAGGAACTAGCAGATGAGATCTCAAAACCACTGAACTATATCTTTCAGAGATCCTGGAGCACTGGGGAACTGCCAGAGGACTGGAAAAGAGCTGATGTGGTTCCCATCTTCAAAAAAGGAGAAAAAAAATAGATCCAGGAAACTATAGACCTATCAGCTTGACCTCAATACCAGGAAAGATTCTGGAAAAGATAATCAAGCAACGAATTAGTGAACACCTAGAAGTAAAGAAAGTAATAGCCAAAAGCCAACATGGGTTTGTCAAAAACAGATCATGCCAGACTAATCTTATTGCATTCTTTGACAAAGTGACAAAATTAGTGGACCAGAGGAATGCCGTTGATATAGTTTACTTGGACTTCAGTAAGGCATTTGATAAGGTAGGCCATAACCTAATACTAGATAAAGTAGAAGAATGTGGGTTGGACAGCATCACCACTAGATAGATTCGTAACTGGCTGACCAACCACACTCAACATGTAGTCCTCAATGGAACTGCATCTACATGGAGGGAAGTATGCAGTGGAGTACCCCAAAGCTCTGTTTTAGGCCCAGTACTCTTCAACATCTTCATCAATGATTTGGATGAGGGAATAAATGGGGAACTCATCAAATTTGCAGATGACACCAAGATGGCAGGAATAGCCAACACTCCAGAAGACAGGCTTAAGATACAGAAGGATCTTAACAAACTTGAACATTGGGTACTATCTAATAAAATGAAATTCAATGATGAAAAGAGTAAGGTTCTACATTTAGGTGAGAAAAACGAAATGTACAGGTACAGTATAGGTGGTACCTTGCTCAACAGTAGTAACCGTGAGAGGGATCTTGGTGTCTTAGTGGACAACCATTTAAATATGAGCCAGCAGAGTGCAGCAGCTGCCAAAAAAGCCAACACAGTTCTAGGCTACATAAACAGAGGGATAGAATCAAGATCATGTGAAGTGTTAATACCACTTTATAATGCCTTGGTAAGGCCACACTTGGAATACTGCATTCAAGTTTGGTCGCCACGATGTAGAAAAGATGTGGAGACTCTAGAAAGAGTGCAGAGAAGAACAACAAAGATGATTAGGGAACTGGAGACTAAAACATATGAAGAACGGTTGCAGGAACTGGGTATGTCCAGTTCCTGACAGTTAGAACAATTAATCAGTGGAATAGGTTGCCTCCAGAAGTTGTGAATGCCCCAACACTGGAAGTCTTTAAGAAGATGTTGGATAGCCATTTTTCTGAAAAGGTATAGGGTTTCCTGCCTAGGCAGGGGGTTGGATTAGAAGACCTCCAAGGTCCCTTCCAACTCTGCTATTGTATTGTATTGTACATCAAGGGTTACCTGTATATGCCCACAAGGCTATAGCTTTAAGCTACAGATTTAATAGAAAATACGATAAATCAGAAAACTAAAACCTAGATAAATTTGGTAGGCCAGAAATGCTACAAGAAAATTTACTTTATGAACCATTTTCTAACTAAAATCTTACTAAAATGAAGATACAGCCAAGTAAAAATGAATCGGTTGTGGGTTGTTGTTTTTTTGCATATTTATACTTTTTGTATGTCCTTTTTGTTAGAAGGCATAATCACAGTTAATATATTGGAAAATATAAAAAGCTGAGGCCATAAGTATTAAGACAATTAAGTTCCGGAAGCAGCAAAGTTCATCAATAAGGAAAACATTTAGAGTAAAATAAAGGGGATGCAAAAATTAAAGTACAAATTACCAAAAAAGCAACTAATAGCAAACATCTTGTCATTTAGTGCCTCCCCCGCAATGAGATCTGAAGAAACAAGGGGGGGAAACTTACTTCTTGCACAACAGCCAAACTAGTTTCATGTAGTTTTGCAGTTAGAGCATCGGAGTGATAGGCAGAAAGGCACCTAATTGAATTGAGGCCCTCAATTTTCTTCTCCCTATGTTGAAAAGAAAGATGAAATACATATATTGCACAGAATAGACAAACAGCTCAGATTTATTAAAAATTATCAATTTACACATTTTATCACACTTCTAAAAAAAAATAACTAAAATCACCAGTAAAAAAAGGTACGTATTTTTCTGAGTATAAGACACAGCTTTTGCCCTCAAAACACGTGAAAAGCTGGGTGTGTTTTATAAACTGAATACAGCATTTTTGACCTCTCCCTTTGCAAAAATGGCCATACATAGCCTTTAGGAGGCTTCCAGAGTGCTCCTGGGGACTGTGGAGGGCAAAAATGAGCAAAAACGGGGCATTTTTTGCCCATTTCTGCCCTCCCCCAAGCCCAGGAGCACTCTACAAGCCTCCCAAAGGCTATGTATGCCTTTTATTTGACAAAAAACAGACCCATTTTCATGAAAAACGGGCCATTTTTGGGAGGTCAGCAGAGTGCAAAAACTTTATTTTTAATTTGCCTCTTCAAAATCTTGGTGCGTCTTATACTCCGGTACATCTTATACTCCCCAAAATACGGTATTTTACATGAAGAGTAAAATACTGTGTCCTTTGCTTTTTATTTAATTGTGTCCAACAGGATTTTTTTTCCATTTCACCCCAAAGATGAAGATGATAAAAAAATTTTTAAAAAGATAAGACTGAGAAACTTACCAATCATTATCAGCAAGGTATTGCAAGGCTTCCAAAAGAGCAAATTCAGGCTTGGGGAAGGGTCTCAAATCTGAGGGTTCCATTATTTCAGAACTGTGCATGACCGATAACATCCGATCCTTAAACGGCATCTGTGGACCTGGAGAGTCTTCACCTGCAACTTCATCCATTTGATTATGCAAAAGTGACCTAACTCTGTGATGTGAATAAGCCATTTATTTATTTATTTATTTATTTATTGTGTTTATATGGCCGCCCAATTCAGACGTGATTCTGGGTGGCGTAGAATAGCTCATCAAACAAAAACAAAAAAATCAAAGTAAAATTGTTAAAAATGGACTATGGCCATAAGACAGCAATCAGAAGTAAAGTGTAGTATAAGTTCATCTGTTGGGGAATCTGTTTTTCCCAACCCAAACACCCAGTGGGAAAAAGTCAGTTTTTCAATGCCCTTCCAGAAGCCTGCAGGATTGGGGCAAACAATATATTGGGTGATGAAGGAAACAAAGTTCCTATATTAGCTGAAAATATATTCTGCCAGCACATTGAGTGTGGCAAAATCTAGAAGGGGCAGATTGGGCTTTACTACTATTGTCCTCTTTAGAAATCTAGAGAGGATCTGTTTAAGGTCCCACTTCTATAAGAAATGAATGAGAAATGGACTACAAAGCAGGCTGGTCTTTGAAAAACATGCTTTTCAGTAGAGCTTTGGATCCTAACATGATGAAGGCACAAACCTTCAGTTATATTATAAATTCCATCTAGTGTTTAATGACAATTAGAAAAGATTATTTTTGTTAATGTTGTATTTTAGAGGGAGGAGAGAAATATTCAATTAATCAATTAGAAAAGATTATTTTTGTTAACGTTGTATTTTAGAGGGAGGAGAGAAATATTCAATTAATCAATAAACAAACAAACAAATAAAATAATTACCTGAGTCTAACAAGATCAAAGGCTGTGCTTTTTTAATACTTGATGTTCTTTTCAACAAAGGACTGAAAGCAACATTTCCTTAAGGACAAAGAAACAAACAAAGGCCATTTTAGAATAGTTCCATCATGCTCTCTGTAAATGTTCTTGTTAACCAAATAGAGGAAGCAACATTTTCTAATAGGTATTAGAAAAATATTATACATTATATTAGAAGGTTAAAGATAAACCTGATTATTGCAAACAATAACAATCTGGATAAAGGAACATTTTTATCTACATTTTTTTATAAAGTGGTATTAACACTTCACGTGATCTTGAGTCTATCCCTACATAAACAGAAGGATAGAATCAAGATCAAGTGAAGTGTTAATACCAATTTATAATGCTTTGGTAAGGCCACACTTGGAATACTGCATTCAGTTTTGGTCGCCACAATGTAGAAAAGATGTGGAGACTCTAGAAAGAATGCAGAGAAGAGCAACAAAGATGATTAGAGGACTGGAGACTAAAACATGAAGAACGGTTGCAGGAACTGGGTATGTCTAGTTTAATGAAAAGAAGGACTAGGGGAGACATGATAGCAGTGTTCCAATATCTCAGGGGTTGCCACAAAGAAGAGGGAGTCAAACAATTCTCCAAGGCACCTGAGGGTAGAACAAGAAGCAATGGGTGGAAACTAATCAAGGAGAGAAGCAACTTAGAACTGAGAAGAAATTTCCTGACAGTTAGAACAATTAATCAGTGGAACAGCTTGCCCCCAGAAGTTGTGAATGTTCCAACACTGGAAGTCTTTAAGAAGATGTTGGATAGCCATATGTCTGGAATGGTATAGGGTTTCCTGCCTAGGCAGGGGGTTGGACTAGAAGACCGCCAAGGTCCCTTCCAACTCTGCTATTGTATTGTATTGTATTGTATTGTATTGTATTGTATTGTATTGTATTGTATTGCATTGCATTGCATTGCATTGCATTGTATATCTAACAACCATGCTGTTAGATAATTTCTTTTTTAATTGTATTTCTTATGGTATGTTTATCTGCCTGCAGCAGAATTTAATAAAATCACCCTCAGAACTAGGAAGCAGCACTTAAAAAGAAATCAGGAATACACCTTGTGTGCATGCTACAGAACCTAAGGTGGCAGTCATTTTGGTAACCATATTAAAGAATCATTAAGGAAATAATGGATTACTGCTGTCGGTTGTCATCTTTTCTGATTCATTGATCTTGAGCAATTCCCAAGGATTGGATTCCTTTTTTCCCAGATCTCTAATTTGCTGGTGCTCCTTCTCCTCTCTCTTCTTCTGTCTCATCTTTTCTCGGGCAGATTTGGATAAGGCAACTTTCATCTACAGCAGAAAGTAAAATACATTCAGTATGGGATGAATAAAGAATGTAACACTTGAATAAAAAATAACATAACCAATATTTCTCCTTCTTTTGAGACACAAGATGCAAACCCATGCAAATATTTCACCCGATGCTCTTAACCACAATACATAATCAAGACTGATTATGTGCCAACAAGGCAATGTCAACTTTTGGCAATCATATAGATTTCAAATATTTCAATTATGATAAATGCATAGGAATTGCCCTTTGGTGGTATATACACATTTAGAATGAAATGGAAATGAGAGGAGCCCAAACCAAGAATTCTTAGGAAACTTAATGGAGTAAGATTAAAATGATGACATAATATGTGAGACTAAATTAGATACCCATCAACTGTCCTGTGAAAAGGATTTTAAACATTTTTAAAATAATAATTATTGTTTTGTCTAAAGATTGAAGACAAAAGAAAAAAGAGATGGCAGAGGATGAGATAGTTAGATTGTGTCACTGACATAATGAATATGAATTTGGACAAACAATGGAGGTCAGGGCATGCTATGGTCCATGGGGACACTACAGTGACTGAACAATTGTTTTCTTATTATTGTTAACTCGTAACAATAGTAAGTTGTATTAGAAATACTGTAATCCTAAATATAAGAATGTAATAAAAATGAGTAAAAATAAAAATGAAGAGTTTGCATTTGTTTATTTGTTGGACTCCCTTAGAGTAAAACACAAGAAAATATATGTTTTTGTTAATGTGCTATAGCAAACATCAGGAACTAGATGCAATTCACTCTCGAAAGCCCATTATGATACACATAATATGTGTATTTTTTGGTCATGCACACCAAAGTGAGATAAAATTAATGCCTGGCATGTCAAATTGTATATTTCTGCTTTCTCATTTGACTAATGTCTGACATCCTGAAGATACATGCTTGATAATTATATGATATACTTTGAAACAAATTCACATCTAGCCCATACTCTTATAAGTATACTATATTATGAAATCTGGAAAAAAAAAATATGCTAGTTGACTGCCCTCTTTCTTAAATGATGGAATGTCCATTCTTACATCTCTTTCATTTTCCACATCTAAGCAAGGTGCAGAGCTTTGCTGCTGGACGGCTCTCCCATAGATGCCAGAAAGTGATTCCATTTTTGGTTTGAACGAAGGTGCATCTCCATTCTCCATGGAGAAGATTATGGATTGACCATATGTAGGAAGTGAAGAGGGGCTTTCAAACATTCCTGAAATGCACAATTCATTGGATTAACAAAAAGGAAAAAAAGGAAAAAGGAAAGATTTGCCTGTCTCATTGTGTCCAATTCTAAGGCACAGTGCTCATCTCCATTTCTTGACCAAAGGAGCCAGTGTTGTCCAAAGACATTTTCTGAGGCCAAGTGGCCAGCATGGCTAGTATCAAAGCTTAATTTTGTTCCATATCTGTATGCAAGGAATCTAATTAAAATGTTGTTTAAAAAGGTAAGTTTTTTTAACTGAATTAACCAAAAAGGAACAGTACGATGTCTCTTCAATGTGTACACGTCCTTTGTCATTTTTTTAAAAAAGGTCCTTTTTTAAATATTTAGTCTTCAACAACCAGAATGCTGAAATGCATATAGTGCACTAACCAGTAAGGCTTCAAGATACAAAACAGATTTTTAAATGTTTAATTTCTAACTGCTTATCCACAAATAATGCATACTTCATCAAAGTCATATAAGAATCACCATTCTATTTTGATTATATTTAATGTTTTCTCATAAATGCACTGATCATAGTCACTGAAAGGCAGGATAAACAAAGATATAATAAATATAAATGTAATTGTTTGAAATACCTTTTCCAACAATAACTACAGAGTCTTCTGACAAGGCACTCGGTGAAATGTATTCGAGACTATTCAAATGATGTAAACTTGAAGAAGGTCCTATAAATCCTTTAAAAAATTATAACACCAGAATTATGCTTTTCCCAAATAAATTATGTTTTTTCCTTCACAAAGTTAAAAGAAAAAGAATGTTGACGATATGTCACTATCATCCTGATACTATATAAGTTAGTATCACAATAAGATTTCTTATATGAGCCAACTGAAAAAAAATCATCTTCTAAACAACTCAGCAGCTAATAGTTATTTATATATCAGAGAAGTGAAAAAGAAAAAAAATATTTATTTTCTATACCAAACAAAATTATTCTTGCCAAATATAAATAGCATATATTGATAACTAATGATTTAAGTAAAATGCTAATCTGAAACTTCCTTCAGTAACAACTGAATGTTCCGAAGTGCAAAATGAGAGGTTACTATTGAAACTGCACAGGAAAGGCTGATTTGATAACAGTTAACTGTAAATTCAGTTCTAGTAAAATCTTTAAAAACAGTAAGTTATTTTAATAATTTTACAATGGAAAGCTTTGGATTATCAATAAATACTACTGCCTGCAAACAACATAGCTCTGATTTGTGTGATTCTTTCCTCCATACTCTGAAGCTAATTTCATTTTAATTTTAAAACAGACACCTGGATTCTGGTGCTCCTGAATTCTACTTTACTTTATAGAACTATGGCATGTAGTAATTACAGAAAGTGAAGGAAAGGAGTGGAAAGGAATTAGGCAGATATGGTGTCTATCCAGAAATGTAAATAGCAATTCATTAGGTTACAGCTCCATAGTCTCCCCTCAATTCTTCCTCCAATTCTGTGACATTCATAATTACTTACCTTTTGTGGATTTACAATGCATTTGATACTCTTTGCTCTGCCCTTTCAGACTGGCAGGAGACAAAATTTTCTGTTTATCATCTTCATAATCTCCTGATCCATTTCCACAGCTCAGATGCTGGCCACTAACACTTACAAAGGAAGTTGCTTTTTCATGAAACCTTGTTCCTGAAGTATAAGTAAAAATCACCAGAAAATGTCTAATATTGCACCTGTACAATTATTTCACACAAATTATGTCCATTAGATACAATATATATCAGCATCACACTTCTAAAGTTTGCCTCCTTTCTTTTTGGAGATATGCCTTCAACTATTTTCTGATGAGCTTCTCTATTAATTTCTTCTATTTTTTATTTCCTACTCCTTGTTCATTCAATCGATATTATTATGAATAATCTTAATTTTGTGCTACAGAAAATGCAGAATTTTCTTAGTAAAAAACAAATAAAAACCCAACTGTGAAATACATATAATTTTCTTTGGTAGTGGTTTTGAGAGTTTCCTCAGTGATATAGCACAGTTAATATTCTCTTTATCAAGATTCAAAAATTTGACATTAATGTACTCAAGTACATCTGCAGATACAAAACAGTAAAATATAAATATATATATGTGGGTATGTGTCTACATATGCATTTATACCAGTGGTGGGCTGCTAAGCGGTTTACTACCGGTTCGCTCGTGCTTGCACACGGCTGCGCTCGTGCAAAACGCTTCTGTGCATGCGCAGAAGCGTCAGGACGGGTGGGTGGAGCCGCCCCATATACATGTATATGCATTTATATTTTATTTGATTGAATATACTAGAGATATATGGTATATTACAAGCAACTAAAATGTCTTTATTTTACTAAATCTAATATTTTCTCCTATTCTCAATACCATACCTGCACTGGGATTCTGTTCCACAATGATAGAGCTTCGATTCCGTGCAGGTGAGAGCTTTGTGGGGCGGGAATTACCTCCAGATAGAGAAAAAATATCTGATCTATAAAAACAGAAAAATGTTTAAGATTAACATAGACCAACTTTGTACAGACATGCCAATGCTATCAAATTATTCTGAACAAGCTATCTTGCCTGCACAACAAAAAATTACTTTTTCAAAAAAAAAAAAAAAATAAGCTGACATTAAGATGGTAAGTTGAAAGAAGTGCTTTCAATTAGAAATTCAACAAAGTGAAAAAAGTGATTCTTTACAAGATTCAATGGGATTAGGACAATGAGTTTTACACTTATTATTCAGTCATAAAGCTACAACAGTTGCATTAATATGTTCCTCCCTGTTGTGTAAATGGGAGGAATGGGGAAGTTGCCACAGAAACACAATTGGCATATTAAAATACCTAAATGTGTATTATAATATTCTTATCTTCAAAGTTTTAAATTCAAGGACCATGGCTAAGTGTTAGATTAACTGCTTTGTATACATAGATAAGGTTCAAAATATCCTCATATGAAATCCTAAAAGGTTGCTGCTGGTTAAGGTAGACAAACTTAACTGAATTAATCATCTTCCTTAGATACGGGATAAATAGCTATGCTTCACCAATAATTGGTGACATTGACAAGTAAAGCTTTTGCTATCTCAGTGGCAGATAGTTAAAACATTTTGAGGGGTTTTACAACATTATTCCAAATCCAATGCACAAGGCCAGTGCATATACTCCAAAAGTAGCAAGTGTAGCCAAGACAAAACATTACTTTTTAAAATAGGAATTGTGTTTAATTAAAATTAAATTCTTCTATTTACTCAGAAGGTACTATAATTTCTTAACAAATATTAGAAATATCTGAGGGCTACACACAAATTGGCCCAGAGGTGATTAGGAGGACTTAGCGCTATGCTCCTCTGATCTAAATAGTGTAAGAACACTTCCAGATCGGTCCTTTCCAAGTAATTGACTGCTTAGTTGAAATCAAATTAAGGTAGCTAAACAACACTAGGATTTAGGATTTAGGATTTTATTGTCATTTATAGGCCGCCCTTTTCCCTGAGGGGACTCAGGGCGGCTTACAATTCGTGGGAAGGGAGTGCAAGACAGAACATGAAATAATATGTGAATAAAAATAAAACAATAAAACACAACATTCATTCAGCATTCGGGTGGGGCGGATGAAAATCTTATCCCCAGGCCTGCCGGGATAGCCAGATCTTAAGGGCTGTGCGGAAGGTCTGGACGGTGGTGAGGGTGCGAATCTCTACGGGGAGATCGTTCCAAAGGGTCGGAGCTGCTACTGAGAAGGCTCTCCTCCGCATAGTCGCCAGTCGGCACTGACTGGCGGATGGAACTCGGAGGAGGCCCACTCTGTGCGATCTGATGGGGCAAAGGGAGGTAATCGGCAGAAGGCGGTCTCTCAAGTACTCAGATCCACTACCATGGAGGGCTTTATGGATGGTAAGTAGCACCTTGAAGCGCACCCGGAGATCAACAGGTAGCCAGCGCAGCTCGTGGAGGATAGGTGTTATGTGGGCGAACCGAGGTGCGCCCACTATCACTCGCACGGCCGCATTCTGGACTAGCTGAAGTCGCCGGATGCTCTTCAAAAGCAGCCCCATGTAGAGCATATTGCAGTATTCCAGCCTAGAGATCACAAGGGCTCGAGTGACTGTTGTGAGGGCCTCCCGGTTCAGGTAGGGTCGCAACTGGCGTACCAGGCGAACCTGGGCAAATGCCCCCCTGGTCACGGCCAACAAATGATGGTCAAAAGTCAGCTGTGGGTCCAGGAGGACTCCCAGGTAGCTTAGTGGAAACAATGATGAAGCACAATCTTTTCCCGAATACATACATACATACATACATCACTTTTAACTTCTGAATAAAACTCACATTGTTCTTAACCCTTGGGGTGCTGTAGACAGTGGGGACGTTACAGACTCAAGACTATAAACTCCACTTTCACTGTAAGAACTAGTACTTGGAGATGACAAGCAGGAAGGTGACTCTGAAGTTAGATCAAGCTTCAACACAGAATCAGGGCTTTCAAGATCAGAAGTGCTGCCGTTCAACTTTGCTCTCTTCTTAGCTGCACTATTACGAAGAGACCGAAGAGAACTATGCATCTAAAGACAAGGAACAATACATAATCCATGCTGTAAAGAAAAGCATAAATCCACACAATGTCTATTACTTCCCCGTTGTAGGACATTTGAATGAATAGAACAATTATTTGGTTATAAGGTTCAATTCCTGTTGATGTTCTTCTGCTATATGGTAATATCTATTTTCTAATAAATATGGTAAACAAAAATTCTAAAATCATCTATAACATGACTTTCTAACAAGGACTGTAAAAGATAAAAAAAAAGGTATAAATTACCCATCAAGTCAGTTGATAGTAAGATGAGTGGCATATAAATTTAATAAATGCAATAAAATAAATAAAGGGCAAAAACATCATGTCAACCATGTAATTATACTACATAAGGAATCCATGAGAATAAAAAGAGCAAATTTACTATTAATCAGTACTCCTACCTCTTCCTCATCAAGCTCTCTTTCACTGATATTTAACTCTGAAAGATCAATGGCCAATTTCTTATCCCTTTCATTTAGCCACATGTCTTCTGGCTCTCCGTTTTTTTGTCCCATTGAACTGATTTCTGTTTTATCAGGCAAGGGGCTCACTCCCCTAGGGATTGGAGGCACTGGCTTTGTTCCACTCAGGCCTCTCCTTGAAGCTGGGGTCCTCACAAAGGCAGGTTTTAGCTGAATAGGAGGAGTATCTTGAGGTTTCATGTCTGTATGAAGAGATTATACAGAGCATTTTAGCAATGTGCTGTGATGTCCTAATAAAAGCACTTACTGATTAGTACAGAATGGAATAACTAGACAGATATTGCATTATGTGCAACAGATTCTAAAGGTTTCAATTGATTTGTTTTTGCTCTGGAACCTGTCTCAAAGAACTGGGAATATCACCACACCACATCCAGCTCATTTAGTCATTGTACTCTGACCAGGCAGCCAACTGTAAGAACGGAATATGGAGAAACAAAATAGTTCAGGATTGAAAAACACACTCAACAAAGTTGCATCCTGTCACTTACACTATTCAACATGTACACAGAAATAGTTATGATAAATTCACATTTGGAGCAATCCAGCATTGGGGTTAAAATCAGTGATAGGAATATCAACAACCTCTGATATTCAGATGATACATCATTGCTCACGGAAAGCAAGGAGGAACTGGAGTGGTTAATCTTGAGAGTCAAAGATGAAAGTGAGAAATTTGGACGGCGCATTAACATCAAGAAAACAAAAATAATGACAACTGCAGAGAACACAGAAGTCAGATTGAAGATTGACAATGAGACAGTCAAAAAAGTGAAGGAATTTATCTTCTTGGGCTCTAAAATTGACCAAAGTGATGACTGCAGCCCTGAAACAAGAAGGCATATAACACTTGGAAGAATTCATGTCTGGCATGAATAACATCAGAAAAATAAAGATATCCGCCTCACAACCAAATGCAGATTAGTTAATGCAATTTTTTTTTTTAATTTACTGCTTATGGCTCCAAAACATGGACTCTGAAAAAGGCAGATAGAAGGGTGGGTATCTTTGAACTGAGGTGGTGGAGGTGACTATTACGGATCCCATGGACTGCAAAAATAACAAAGACAAAAGTCCTAGACCGAACCTCACCAAAAATATCACTTGAAGCCAAAATTGCCAAACAGAGGCTGTCATATTTTGGTCATGTTGTCAGAGCTGACTCACTTGAAAAGTCAATCATGTTGGGAGCGATCAGCAGAAAAAGGAGAAGGGGCTACCTTAATGCTGGACTCTATAAAAAGATGACACTGGGATGACCAGGGCGGATCTGAAGGAGGTGGTGTGAGACAGAGGGGCATGGAAAATGCTAATGCATAGAGTGGCTGAGGATTGGACATGACTGAGTGGCTGACAATGATAATGATGATTATCCCTAGGCATAAGTGGAAGAATCTTTTTAAGCATGCTCCCTGAAACAAATGCTTACCAGTTTTTAAGCTCTATTCCCATGAAATGTGTTAAATCCTGAAACCAGTACTTCTCTTAAAAGCAGTTCAAGACTACTTTAAAGAAAATACAATAGACTAGAACAGCAATATATAATTGTATGGTTTTTATTTGTACAAATTCTTATAAATTGGTTGCAAGCTGAAAAAAATGTCTAGTGTATCAAAATTAGTCTAGTACCAGACATTTTGTTTGTTACAAAGAAAAATAAGATAAAACTGACATTAGGTGGTAAACAGTATTGACATAGAATGTAAATTACTGCCTTTGAAGAAAAGTTGTTAAAGCTTAAGAGGGAGTTGACTGCTAATGTCTCTCTTATATCTACTTTCTTTTTCCCTTTCTTGGTATCTTATTTCCAGATTTTGTGCACATTATTGGAAACAGCACAGATTATTACCAAGGATGTTACCTGCTTCCTCTCCTGATATTGGGCTGGAAAACTTCTTCTGATGTGTAGGTTTTGGAAGCCCTTCAAAGCTCTTAAGAGGCCAGGAATTAGAGAAATTAACAGCATGGTCTTGTGATTTCTTAAGTGAATCTGTTGGTGAAGAGGTGTGCTTTGGACTGTGCCTGGGTGATGAAAATGGGTAGGATGGAAGAATGAATGCTCCTTGGCTAGTGTGACAGCCCAGGAGAGAAGTATGCTCAGGTGGGCTACAAAAGGTCCGCTGAGGTTTGTTGGTAAAATTGAGGCTAGTACACACTGGAAAAGACATAAAGTAGACAATTTGCATAAAATAATCCTGGAAAAACAATACCATTGGCAATCATGTCTGATCATCAATCTGTAAGGAGAAGAGCATGGAAGATTTTTATTTGAGCTCCTAATTCTATAAAGAAGTGTTTTTAGTACTTGTTAATCCATATATTAAACCAGGTTATGCTAACTTTTCTTTCCCAGAACATTTTAAAGGGGGGGGGGATTGGCTCTTCAGATATTACAGCATTATAATTCTCATAATTATTCATAATGGCTAAGCCTAATGGCAACTGGAATGTGGCAACATGTGGAACACTACAAACTGCATTTTCCTGATCTATGTAACAGGATAGATATAAGACTATTTAAAAAAATAAGTATGTTTTCCCAACATAGGTCATAATGAGCAAAAATAACACAGTAATTAAGCATTAAATTAAAACATAATTTAGAAATTTGAAGATTAAGAGAGAAGCAGACCAGAAACCAATCTGACATCACAAGATTTTCTAAGAACAGAAGTCCTGCTTTAACTTGGTGGTTATGCTTAGCACAGGTAAAGTCAATCTGATTAAGGATTTTAATCTGCAGTGCAGGGAAAGAGTTATGTTATCTGTACCCAGCTAATTAGGCTAAATATTGAAATCTGTACACCTTAGTACTGTATTGCAATTATGTGTATGGCTAATGTAATCCTATCATAGCTGAAATATTGCTGGAACACCTTATTATCCACAAATGTGTCTATGAATTCTAGAACCATTATGGAGCAGACTGAAGTAGAAAAGTAATGAGGAAAAGTCTACTATCACTGAATGTTGAATAGTAGTAGAATCCAGGAAAATCATGCTCTTCAATACCTTTATCTTGCCATGGACTGCTAAGTCCTAGAAATTGTAGGTCAGAATCCACACTACCACTTTTCCCACGGCTATGAGAGAAACCAAGTAGGTTGGATTTTCCTGAAATATGTGGCTGATGAGAGGCCATCACACCTTTCAAGTAAAAAACAAAAGATAGCCAGATATGTTTCCATGTCCCATTGATAGTAACAAGTTTAATTCAAATTTTAAAATATATTTTAGTGTAGAGAGAACAGCATGAAAGAAAGCTGAAAAAATCAAATCTGAATATTTTCTAGCAAAGGGTTTTTATAAGACAGAATAATACATCCTATACAAAACAGAAAAGACAGAACCCTTTTCCCTCATAGCATATCAAAATGTTGTTTAAATATGTTTTAATCAGATATATATAGTTTCCAGAGTAGGAGATACGAGAAATCTCCAATACAATTTTAATGATAATTAATAACATTTATTGCATTGGTAATAACTGCTCACTTTATTAAATTCTGCTTGGTTTACAAAATCAGAAACAATAAAAGCAATTAAATGTACATAACCACAAAGAAACATGCAACATTGACTAAACCAATCAGAAAGATAATTGATATAGATACAATAGGGACATATCTATATCAATAAGCATATTAACATCAAGCCTGAGAACAAAATCACATGAGCTGAATTATGGTCATAAGTCGAGGGCAACTTATATATCACTATAAAGATCTCATTGTAAACATTTATCTTTAAGATGCTATGCAAAACATATCAGCTTCAAATTTCCTCCCCAGTACTACTTGCCAATTTAAATTTACAGCTTCTTGTCCTATTTAGCAAATTCAGAGTAAACTGTAAGAAATGTCCTTGACTAGATTTGTTCTTATAAAACTATCAACTGATAGTAAAAGTTTTTGTAGTATTTTACTTCTAGATACCTCCATTGGCTCCCAAGAGTGGTAGATGGAATTCAGTGATTTCTGGGAGTTGTAAGCAACAGGATATTAGAATATACAAGCCTTATGTAACATGTGAATGTATACATTAATAATTATATAATTAATTGCATTTTCCTTCAAAGACTACTGTTCCACTGCTGGGCCATTTTAATATTTACAATTTCCAGTGGTCCTATATCAGTCTAACAAGGATGGTAAAGCTACAAGTGTTTAAAAAAAATACTACTGTAAGAGTTTAAAAGTTAAATTAGTTATATCAATATACTAAATACAAATCTCATATTCATTCCCATTCTTCACTGGCTCTTTTTTATATCTACAAAACCCACCTGCCTTTTGGTTCAGTTGTCACTCAGAGATGGGGAAAACAAGAAATATAGTATTAAAACCAGCTGCATTGCTTATTAAAACAAACAAATCCCATAGTGCTATTTTCAAAATTAAAATGTCAGTTGATTTTAATTCTGTATTTCTTTGGAATATTCCCTGAATCATCATCTCCTACATCTTTCTATGCAAAAAAAATGTTTTGATTAAGTTAGCATACAAACTGCAAAAATATTCTCATATTTTCTAATACCTAGGCAATCAATGCAGTAGATGTTCTTGTCATCTCAGTCTCATTCTATTTTCGCTATTTAAATAAAATGTTTTCCCAATATTTTAAAGATGACAGTCCGAGTATTGGGGGAGTGGGGGGGAGAAAACATCTACCGGTAATTCTTTTGAGCTATGACTAAGTGAGACAGCTTCAAAAATGCTCAATTGCACTTCAGAGTAACTTAGCAGTGCTTTGTTCTGCCTTACTCTGGCCCCACAATAAAACAGAATGGAGGAGACAGCAGAACAGGCACCTGGGATGGCAGAACCCTTTCTGTACTGTACCATTTATTATATCATCTTGTCACCATGAATGACTCTGATGTTCTTAAGAGCTCTATACATTCTTAATATTTCACTGACTTACCTTGAGAAGCTCTTAATTTAGGAGAGTGAAGAAAATCATTTGATGTCAAGCACTGGAACAGAAAGAAAAGACAAATAGTACTATGGTATAATGTAATTTACATACATTTCACTTGCAAAATTTCACTTCACATTACATACATTTTCACTTGCAAAATTAATAGGAAAAAAGTGCACTGACTACACAGAATGTAGACCCTGGATATAATATGAGAAAACATTTGAAGTTTTCAAAAATAATATTTTAACTAAACTGAATTTTTAAATAATTTTTAATTATTAACATAATTTTTGATAGCCACTTTAGTCTGGCCATAACTCCACTCCTCTACTGTTCTTAGGACAGAGCAAATTTCAATAGATACAGAAATGAAAGTCAACTTAAGAAACCATATAGTCTACTACAAATATTAGTCTTTATCAAGCAAATATTATTATTATTTTGAAAAATCACTACAAAAGACTTATTTCTGTACCTGCTGGTTTCCTGTATTGGTCCGTGCTATTACTGACCTCCTATGAACAATACTGACTTCACAAATTCCTTTAACTGCTGTGGGGCTACTTAGGTTAATCTGTAACAAAACTGAGCTCATTGGAATGTATCTAAATGTAATTATTAATCTTTTTTAAAACCTGAGAAACCTTAGCTAAAAAAATTAAAGACTGTGAAAATTATGTTCATTTACTTTTCTTTAAACTTATCCTAACTTAAATCCAAAAATTTATCTTCAATACTCAATATAACATACTGGCTTGACCATTAGGAAATTATTCTGAATGGTTTAAGACACTTGCATCTTATGACCTTTCTATTTAGAAAGGCATTGTTCAAAGTCAATATCAGTTTTACCTAATTGTGTTATCTACTGAATTTGATATTGAACTTTTTTTCTTTTTAATTTATTTATACATCATGCTTATATAGCTTCCCATTTTACAAATGTTAATAGGTCTGAAACAGATGAGGAAAATAAAAGGGCATCATCATATGGAAAATATATACTTGCAATATAGTGGCATCACTTCCATTATATTACACAAAAGAAATGTCCAGGGATGAGGTCTAATAAAGCAGGAGTCCCCCAACTCCCAGACCATTGACCGGTACCAGTCTGTGGCCTGTTAGGGACTAGGCTGCATAGTCGGAGGTGAACTGTGGATGGGCAGGTGAGCGAGCGAGTGAAGCTACATCTGTATTTGCAGCTGTTCCCCAACGCTACCATCACCACCTCAGTTCACTAGGCATTAGACTTTCATAGGAGTGTGAACCCTACTGTAAACTGTATATGCAAGGGATCTAGGTTGCGTGCTCCTCATCACCACCACCCAATCCATGGACAAACCAGTCTCTTGTGCCAAAAAGATCGGGGACTGCTGTAATAAAGGATGGACATGTATAAAACTGCTTGAAGAACAGAACTGTACAGAAAATTTAAACAGCAGCTTCATCACTTCATTCAAAAACTTTCAGAACACTTTCCACATATGAACAATCAAATTTTGATTAGTCTTAACAGCTTCAATAAATCTATCAAATTCAGGCCCTGCAGTCTCCTGAAAGTTAGTTGCTAAGTCCAAGTTCTACATGTGAACCATTAAGACTAGAATTTTTTTTAAAAAATTGGGTCTGATCTAGCATCTCCTCTTATCATGATTCACTAATACGGAATACAGAAGTCAGAGTATCTGATAGCTTTCAATCTCCTTCTTCATAGCACATATTCAAGACATTGTGATTATACATTGTCAATTTTTGTTGCACCATGCTTCTATGCAGAAATTCAGAAGGAAACATATGATAGAATTTAAACCTTAACTAATCTCCATGATAATTCAGCTTTCTGTCAATGCAAATATTCCTCCCTACATACAATGGTTAAGTTCTACAAGGAAATAAATTTTGAATAAAAGACCACAGTTTGGGAGGATAATGCAAATACCCAAATCATGTAACTGAAATTCATCTATTTGAGTTTTATTTGAGTTCTTAAAGTCTGATAATTTATTATGAATCACTTTAGCCTGGCCATAACAATACCACTCCTCCAATGTTCTTGAGACAGTACAAATTTCAATAGATACCGAGTCTTCCAAATTCAAGACACAACTTGTGCAAACTTTGACAAGCTACAAGTATTAATTGACTTAAAGACACAACTGTAACCAAAATTTCCATTGCTAAGCAAGGTGATTGTTCAGTGAGCCATGCCTGATTTTACGACTTTTTGCCATGGGTGTTAAGTGATTACGGTAAGTGAATCATGTGGTTGTTAAATGAATCCTGCTTCTCCCATTAACTTTGCTTGTCTGAAGAGGTTAAGAAGGTTGCAAATGGTAACAATGAGACCTTGGGTTGCTCAACTATCATAAATATATGCAGGTTGCCAAGTGCCCAAATTTTTATAACTTGACTGTGAAGATCTAGTTCAAAGTGACAGAGGAGATAGCTGTCTCCTATATGTCGTATTACTAAACTAGTAGTTTGAGAGCATCATCAAAAGGATGCCTCAGCATACCTTAGTGGCAGAAAAACTTCTTAACAGTGAAGCAAAAGGTCTTAAAAAGAGTACCAGAAAGTCTGCCCAGCTAGCAGCCAGCAAGTGGTGCAGATTTTTCAACATAGGCAACAATCCTCTCTAAATGTCATATTTTCCACTTTGTTTCCTTTAAAAGCCATCAGATCATTAACATGACTAATTAACTGTGAAGCATGGTAATCATATTCAGCAAATACATTAGAAAGTATCGGTAGCTAAGAGGATTAAATCAGGTGATCAGACAGCTAAGTCTCGAGGAGCTGGGTGAAAGAATAAAATTAGAGTTATGTCATTTTTAATTTATTTAATCATATCCCCCTGATATTGGCCCTAAGACTACCTTCCAACAATTAAATCATAATTATGCTATTATAGCATTAAAGTGCAAAGTCTTAAAATATTATTTAAAATACAAGCCATACAGTATTAAGAATATCTAAAAGTAAGTTCAATTAGCTCACTCAAATTTCTGGGAATGGTAGCATGAACTTCAGCTAAAAAACAGAGCTAGAGTTTCAGTCTTCATTCTTTAACAGAATACAAACTATTTTCCCCATACCTGATAACTAAGTTCACTCCATATCCTTTCAGCTCTACACAGTGAAGTTAATGCAAATCCTAGCTGGTGGAAGACACCTGGAGGACACCATATAGGACAGTGATGGCTAACCTTTTTGTCGTAGCGTGTGTGATACTGCGCCTGTATGCCTGCAGCCATAATGCAATGCACTTGTGACACACACACCCGTGTTCTGCTCCCTTGCGCATGCACCACCATGCATGCGTGTGCGACCCACCCACACTACCCTGTCCCCCCCCCCGCACATGAGCCCTGACCCTCCCCTCGCCCATTTTTTTGTTTCCAGGTTGGTGCAGGAGACTTTCCAGGCCCAAAACGGGATGCGCAAGGCCTCCTGCACCAACATGGAAGCAAAAACGGGGCACGGGGGCACTGCGCAAGACCCCAAAATGCAATGCAAAATCCCCTGCATGCACCCCACCCCCGTGCAGCAGAGACCCAAAAACCAGCTGGCCAGTGAGAGGCAGGTGTGCATGCCCGGTGGAGCTGGGCTGGGGCGATGGCTGGCATGCCCACAGATAGGGCTCTGTGTGCCACCTGTGGCATGCGTGCAATAGGTTCGCCATCACGGATATAGGAGAAGAGCAGAAGACTTTACAATCATTTCACTTACTGGTTCACTTCCTTTTGCAAAGCAAGTTTGGTTCCCAGGTCGTTCGCTCTCCCAAGGCAGTTTTCCTTTCCCAGCACTTAAAACACGCCGGGGACATACTCCTTGGTCCACAAAAGGGGTAAAAGACCCAGCAGTCTCTCCAGAGTAGCTGTGGGCACTCTGGATACGGTTGCCCTCCAGGAGCCAATCTGTGTCCGCTCCATGAGGCAAATGAAAGCCGCGCCCGTTGGCCGAGGAGGGCAGGGGGACAGCATACTCCACAAACCACTGGTCGGTAAGCTTGGGTAGAGTTTTTCTGGCCAACCGAGCCTGCACGGCACTCATGACCCCTTCGCAATTGTCCTGAAGTTCAACCACGTCCACTGCCTTGAAGATGAGGCTGGCGCGGCCGGGCCCCAGGGCCGAGGCTAAGACAGCAAACGCCTCCAAGGCGGCGTGACGGACCCGGCGCTTGCTATCGGCCAGAGCCGGAGCAAGGGTGGCCACCAGCTTGGGCAGCTCGAAGTCCTCGCTGGGGAAGGTGAGGAGGGCAGCAATGGAGATGGCCAGGACCACCTCGCGGACGCGGGAGTTGCGGTGCTGCAGGTGCTCGGGGCGCAGCAGGAGATCCAGCACGGGCTGAGGGCCGGCGGCCCGCATCAGGCCCAGGAAGAGTTGGTGGTACTCCTGGCGGATGGCCAGCTTGGCGTCGCCCAGCACTTTGGCTGCGGCCGCCACCAACGGCTCCAAGCGGCAGCGGCTCCCCGCCGCCGGGCCTAGGCGGACGGCCAGCAGGCGCAGCCCTTCCAGCGCCCCCAGCGCCACTTTGAAGTTCGAGTCGTCCAGCAGAGCCCGCAGCAGGCTGAGCAGCCCGAGGAGGCTGGGCGGTGGCAAGCAGGCCAAGGCCGCCCCCGGAGCCTCTCCCAGAACCCGCTTTAGCTGCTCCATGGCGCCCACCCGGCCTCGGTAGTCGTGCTGGTCCAGCAGCCGCGCGTGCAGTTCCGACGGGACCAGCCCGAAGCGCAGCGGCGCGACTCCCGGTTGCGAGAGCGGCGGGACGCGGCCTGCAGGGAAAGAAGCAGCGGGCGCCTCCCGTTGCTCCCCGCCGCCCCCTCCGCCGGAGGCGCCCCCTTCCTGCTCTTCCTCTCTGGCCATGCCCCTCTCCAGGGCTTTACCCGGCTGCCCCGCCAGCCCGCCCCGAGGCCGCCGCCGCCGGGCCCCTCACAGGGGAGCATCGCCGTCTCCAGGGAAACGCGTCACCGCCGCTCCCGCCGCCTCCTTCGCCGCCTCGGCCACGACGGAGGCCTCATTGCGCGTGCGCACGGACGCCCAGCCGAGGGAGGAGAACATCGGCGCCTGTCAATCGTTTTGATAGGAAACGTCGAAAGGAAGCCGCGAAGGCTGGCCAGAACGCTCAGGCGGGTCTCGCGGGCAAAGCATGCGCGGAACGCCTCGGCGCGCAGTGCGCGCCGGGTTATGTAGTCCAATCCCTTCATGAAACAGGGCCAAAGGCCTAAATCAAGGGTCCCCAAACTTGGCAACTTTAAGACTTGGTGGACTTCAATTCCCAGAACTCTGGGAGATGAAGTCCACCAGTCTTAAAGTTGCCAAGTTTGAAGACCTCTGGCCTAAATGGTGCTATAATTATCTACCCACCCAGGGAAGGTTTATTTTTGCTTTCTTTCAAATGTAAAATTGGAATGTACAATTGTGACAACTCCTCTCCCCGTAAGCGGTGAAAAGGCTGCCGGGGGTCGAAATTTTGGAGGAGGAGGGAGGAGTCTTTGGATCTTTAGCGGAAATAACGCAGCCAGCCGTCGCCTCTTTCCCTTCTCCTCTTCCGCTGCCTCTGGCTGTGTTGTTGTTCCTGGAAGGAGCCCGCTGAGGCCCTCCCGCCCGACTGGTCTGCCGTCCCCTGAGTCCGGTGAGTGACCCTTCCCCGCGATATTAATTGTGAGGGATTGGAGGAATTTGGGCGGGAAAGAACGTGGCTCGATTACGAGATCGAGGAGGGTAAAATTCCAGCATAATATGAGACGGAGGTTGGAAGGGATGACTGGCTGGGGGAGGTTTTGTTTTTATTTATTTTGGTTTGTCAACATGTCTGAGAAAACAAGTAGAAGTATGCATATAACATATAAACATATAAGCATAAGTGTAAGGTCCTTGTTTTTCTCCATTCCTCGCCCTCCTTTGCAAATGGGTGTGATGAGTATTTGTTAAAAACATTTTCGGTTCTTGGCAGGTTAAGGTACCTTTGTCGTCTTTACGCGCTCGGCAACTATCCCCCCCTCTCCCCAAAATAGTATTGGGAACAGTCCTAGACCTGAATGCAAGAACAGAAAGTGATTGACTTGGTTTTCAAATGAATTGATAGCAATTTCTGTCATGTCTAATATGTCTGTCTTGAGACAAGAAAATTCGTGTTAAAAGTTGATCATTTGCCTTGGACCGAGGTTATCATAATCAAATATAAAGGTAAAGGTAAAAGTTCCCCTCGCATATGCATGCTAGTTGTTCCCAACTCTAGGGGGCGGTACTCATCTCTGTTTCAAAGCCAAAGAGCCAGCACTGTCTGAAGACGTCTCTCTGGTCATGTGGCTGGCATGACTAAATGCCAAAGACACACGGAACACTGTTACATTCCCACCAAAGGTGGTCCCTATTTTTCTATTTGCATTTTTACATGCTTTCGAACTGCTAGGTTGGCAGAAGCTGGGACTAGTAACGGGAGCTCACTCCGTTAGGCAGTGCTAGGGATTCGAACCACCAAACTGCCGACCTTTCTGATCGATAAGCTCAGTGTCTTAGCATCTGAGCCACTGCGTCCCCTATAATCAAATATACATGCTGTAAATTGCTGGTTTTCAAATGTAGATTTTAACTTTTTTGTTGTGGGAGGGGAAGAATAATGTAGGGACCTGTGGTGGCTCTGGAAAATTCACGTTTTACTAATTATTGTGATGAGGACATCCAAAGTAATATTCGCCAGAAATGAATGAGCATTCCCATAGTCATAACAATTCAAGGAGCTTAAAGATAAAGCACTTAAGAGTTTGTTGTAAAGTTTTATACTTTGACACAGAAAGGTTACTTTAATGACTCACTAGTTGTTTGCTTTTCTGTACATTCTAAAGCAGCTTTTTGGGGATTTTAAAGTGTTGCCCTGCTTAGTGCACATAAACCAAACAGTATAACATAGAGAATATCTAACCATACTGTGGTTATTGTCTTACTGCTAACTTTAGGCAGACTTGTTATTTTCTGCTCCATACTACTAATGTTTCAGACTCAAACTTTCTATTTCAGTACAGTTCTTTTTTATTATTGTTATTCAAATCAGTAAATCACTGCAAATAAAAAGTAGTTTTATGTGTGTATATACACATACATATGTGTGTGAAAAGAATATAATTTGGGTGTGTAGAGAGAATATGAAAACCTCTTTACAATAGAGTTTCAGTATTTCTATCCAAAAAGAAAGCAGAGAAAGATAAAGATAAGCTTGGTGATTTTTAAAAATAGGAATGATTTGAAATAAAATGCAGAGAGAATAATCTGTTGACATTCATAATCTCGAGAGAGGCTATTTCATAATGCTAATACCGTATTGGAAAACAAGCACATTCTGGTTCCATTCACTTCCTATGAAACTTTTGCAAGAGATCCTTGAATGGGCCAAATCTGATTGGAATACATAGGAGCCAAGCCATATAAGTCAAACTAGACTTTAAAATTCACCTAGAAATCCATTGGTAACCAATGCAGAGTTCACAAAATTAGTATAATGTGACTCAAGTGGCTCAATAAACAGACTGTTGCATTTTGCATCAGATGCAGTTTTTGAGAAGTCTTCAAAGTTTCCCTATATCAAAGACATTGCATTGTGATAAGGGCACGAGTCCTTATATTGCTTTGTATGTATCAAAAGTATATTAGTTAAAACTTTATGAAAATGTGTTTTAAATTTATTTTAACAGATGGACCAGTCATCTCCAACCTATATGATTGCTAATCTAATTCCCCTGCATTCAGAGCAACTCCTGCAAGGCCTGAACTTACTCCGCCAGCACCATGAACTTTGTGATGTCATCCTTCGGGTTGGAGATGTCAAGATCCATGCCCATAAAGTTGTGCTTGCTAGTATCAGTCCATATTTCAAAGCCATGTTTAGTGGCAATCTCTCTGAAAAAGAAAACTCTGAAGTAGAATTCCAATGCATTGCAGAAGCAGCTCTGCAGGCCATAGTGGAATATGCCTATACTGGGACTGTATTCATATCACAGGACACCGTGGAATCACTTCTCCCCGCTGCCAATCTCTTGCAAATCAAGCTTGTGCTGAAAGAATGTTGTACCTTTTTAGAAAACCAGCTGGATCCTGGCAATTGTCTTGGTATCTCCCGTTTTGCAGAGACTTATGGCTGCCATGATCTGTACTCGGCTGCCAATAAATATATTTGTCAGAACTTTGAAGATGTTTGTCAGACAGAAGAGTTCTTTGAACTTACCCATTCTGAGCTGGAAGAAATTGTTTCCAATGACTGCTTGAATGTGGTTACGGAGGAAATGGTTTTTTATGCGCTGGAATCTTGGATCAAATATGATGTGCAGGTGCGTCAGAAATTTCTGGCGCAGCTACTTCACTGTGTACGACTGCCTCTGTTGAGTGTTAAATTTCTCACGAGACTTTATGAAGCCAATCATCTCATTCGTGATGACCATACCTGTAAACACCTGTTGAATGAAGCCTTGAAGTACCATTTCATGCCTGAACACAGACTTTCATATCAAACTATACTAACTACACGTCTTCGCTGCCCTCCTAAAGTGCTCTGTGCAGTGGGAGGAAAAGCTGGACTCTTTGCTTGTTTGGAAAGGTGAGAATAACAGCCACAAGAACAAAAAACACCCTGGGTTTAAGCAGGCTTGTCTTGCTAACCTCTTCTGTTCACAAGTCAAAGAAGCTAGTGGAGCCTATCTCTGAAGAAACTATACAGGTTTTGACAACCTTCAGTTGCTTCTCATGCCATAGTAGAAAAAGGGGATAGTCTGGAATGCAGAAGCCTTAGAAAAGGATATAATTGACCAGGGTGTTATAATTTTGAATATTCTTCATTTTTCTGCTGCTCTCACTATCACAGCCTGAATTATTAACAATCTTTTAGTCCAGGAATTTATTTATATCTTAATCATATCAGTCTATTTATCCCATTTACTAAAAAGGAACAGAAGGTTCCCCACACATACACACATAATTAAGTATAAAGTGGAAGTATAAATAAGAACTGCAAATCTAACTTCTGTTCTGTTAGACGTAGGAATGGTCTTATAATTTTTCTTTGTCAACTGTCAGGGTTGTTACTACAACGAAGAATATATTGAGGTTAATTATCCGGTAATCAGTTTCATTGCCTAAAATTGCTAGCTGTAAAATATATGACAGCTCATATTTAGAAAGTCAACAACTCACTCATGACCCTGCCTCACCTTTTTGCTTGACTATATTACCTCCAAATGTTGAGTAGTAGTTTTATTAAAGCACCATGGAATGGATATTGCTGTTAGTTTAAATTCCCTTTCTTCCTTGTAATCCTTTTGCTCAGGCCACTCTAAAGATTTAGGAAATCTTGCAGAGTAGATTTTATGTGAACTGTTTATATGTTTAACCTTCTTTTTACAGCAGCAGTAAATTGAAAGACTATGAAAGATAGATGGAGAAACTAGCTAGGATGGCTTCACTCTCCAAATTTTGCCAATTATCTGAATCTAAGTTTATGTATTTACTAAACAAATTTATATAGCCACCCAATTCATACACAGGTGACACTAGTGGCTTTATAACATTTGAAAACACCCACCACATAATAACTGATAAAAAATTCCACTCTCATGACAACAGCAACATAATCAAATCAGCCTTCATCTCCCTTCATCTCCATTAGTGACCATATTTTTAGGGCCTTTCAGTTCTGATGAGCAATCTTTTCATTAGTTTCAAAGTTTAATAACATTTGTATGCCGGCCAATCCCGTAGGACTCCGGGCGGCTAACAATATAATTAAGGAGGTAAGTTGTTTTTCAAAACAATAAAGCTCTGTTTTGATAAATTTTGAATGATATAAAGTGTTGTGATCACAAGAATACTGGGTGATAGTATCCCCTATGTCCGTGATGGTGAGCCTATGGCATGCGTGCCACAGGTGGCATGCGGAGCCATTTGTTAGGGTATGCGAGGTGTTGCCCTGTCAGCTCCAGCGCATTGGCCAGCTGACTTCAGCCATTTTTCTTCCTCCGGAGGCTTTAGTCTGTCCCCAAACTTACGGTTTGCACGTTGGGTTGTTTTTCATCCTCCGGAGTCTTCAGGGAAGCCTCCTGAAGCCTCTGGGATGGGGGGAGGCCATTTTCACCCTCCCCAGGCTCTTAGAAAGCTTCTGAAGTCTGAGGAGGGCGAAAATGGGTCCATCGCGCACCAAAAGGAGGGGGAGGGCAGGAGTCACGCCTGTATGTGCGGGGGGTGTCGTGCACATAGAATTATGGGTGTGGGCACACTCGCCCGTGCTCTCCCCGCTTTTGGCATGCGATGGCAAAAGGGTTAGCCATCACTGCCCTATGTGTTCTCAGAACAAATCAAATAATGATAGTTTCATATAAATAAATATTGCAAGTAAAATTACTTTTAATATTTGTTATCCTGAATTTCTTTCCAAATCTTAGGATTTAGAGACTGGTTACATACCTCAAACTGAGCAGCAGTTTGTTTATAATTAGTTTGATGAATATGCTACAGAGATCACACTTAGCTGCTAAACCATCAGCTATTATTTACAAGCCACAATGACTTAGTTTACCCAAAGCATTAAGGCTAAACCAAACCATATATGGTTTAACACAAAACATTAATTCAGTTACAATGTTTTTGTCCGTAGGGGTCCATTTAGAAGATGGGTTCAGTATCAAGCAACTCAAACCAGCATTAAAAAAAATATGTTGGAAATAAATAGACATGGGATAAAAGTGTTTAAATTCCATTGGGGATATCACCTTTTGATATATTGAACTTTTTGCCTCATGATTTTTTTTTGTCTTCTTCAGTGTTGAGATGTATTTTCCTAAGAATGACTCTTGGATAGGCTTAGCACCTCTGAGTGTTCCTCGCTATGAATTTGGAATCTGTGCCCTTGATCAGAAAATCTATGTAATTGGAGGAATTGCAACCCACATGTGTCAAGGCATCAACTATCGGAAGCATGAAAGCTCTGTGGAATGCTGGGACCCTGATACAAATACTTGGACATCGATTGAGAGTATGAACAAGAGCCGAAGTACACTGGGCGTAACAGTTTTGTCACGAGAAATCTATGCCTTGGGAGGTTATGATGGACAGTCCTACCTGCAATCCGTGGAGAAATATATTCCAAAAGTGAAGGAGTGGCAACCTGTTGCACCAATGAACAAAACCCGGAGTTGCTTTGCTGCAGCTGTTTTAGATGGAATGATTTATGCCATTGGGGGCTATGGTCCGGCTCATATGAACAGGCAAGTGCAAGTTTAAGCTTGGCAGTTTATTACTGTAGTTGTTGTTAAACATTTCTTGATTTGATCTGATCATATAATTATATGGGCACCCTCTCATGGAAAACGACTCTGGGTGCTATACAGCAAAACAATAATATGCAGGACCCTCTACCTTATTAATTATTCCCAGTGTGACAATGCCTTCATAATTCATGCTTCAGGTAATTTGTCCAAGGAATTTCTTGGAATTGTTTGTTAAAATTATTCTTGTGGTTTTTTTTTTCCAAAGAAATTACATATATTTGGTTAGGTCTTAAATCATACTGTGGTACTTATTGGTCATGTGCACACACATGTCAGAAACCAAGTGTTCATTCTAACTAAAAACTCCCTTTATGAGAGCAACTGGTTGATGATGTAAGATTAATTATATGATATTCCAGGCTTGTACAGAACAACATAATTTCATTACTGTAGCCTGAGGTTGTATTCCTGAGATAACCGTACACTGAAATGCTAACTACATTTTTTGCAAGTGTGTTGTGTAAATGCGCTTGGGGCTAATTTATTGTTGAGTGTGCTATGTTAATGCAATTTTCTAAAGTGTTAGGAAAATAATAATTAAATTAACTATGGGTAAGAACATAATGTGAACACGGCCTGGTAATTTTTCCCTATATGTCTGCTGGTTTAAATTAAAGCAAAAATTCCCCATATTAAACACATACAAAATTAGAGTGCAACTTGCCTACTACAGTAGAGGTTTATGTCATTTCACTCTAACCCAATCCATTCTGCAGACTTTTAATGGGCAATCCTTATTAATAAAAAGTTAAATCTGAAATTAAAAATTGTCCTAAAACTTAATCAAAACTTGGTTATGCAAAGACCATTACAAACATGTAATAACACTGCTGTAGTATAATGTTCAAGTCTCTTTCCTAATATAGAAAAATAATGTAATTTGTATGTGATTAATACTAAGGCAGCTTGAAAGTTCTTGAATGAAATGAAAGAGCCCCTGGAAGCCAATGTTTTAACTTAATTTATGGTCTGTTTGAAGAAAGAAAGGTTTGTGTTTCCCAAATGCCAAGGTTTTTTTTTTCCTGTGGGGTGGAGTGGGGTTGCCAGCATTATAAACAGACCATTGGCTGCATTAAAAAAAAAATTGGGATAGCATTAGCTTGTTGAGCTACTTTTGAGAGCAAGAGAATGCCAAGTGTTCTGTCCTAGGCTTCCTGATCCAGTAAAATGCACACAATTAAATCCAAAAATCCTCTTTTTATGTTCCAAATAGTAGTAAAGAGTTCTACAGGAGGCTGCCATAAGCACCCACCTTTATCTTCTTTGAAAACACTGCCAAAGACTTAATTGGCAATTTGCTTGACAAGACCACACAGAGCAAAGAGTCCAAACGTATTTTCAGAAGGTAAACTGACTAGCATAAACCAAGTTGCTTCCTGCGAAGGCTCATGTGCCTTTGCTCCTCCTTTATGTCCTATGGGAGGGGCCAATCACCTCCAAACATGCGCACACAGGGAACAGGGGGAGAAATTTCCTGACAGAACAATTAACCAGTAAAACAACTTGTCTCCAGAAGTTGGGAATGCTCCAACACTAGAGGTTTTTAAGAAGAGATTGGACAATCATTAGTCTGAAATGGTATAAGGTTTCCTGCCTGGACTAGAAAACCTCCAAAGTCCCTTCCAACTCTGTTATTCTGTTCTTCTTTTCAAAGATCATAGGAAAAAAGATAGTCCCTTTTCATTCCTTCTGGACTTTTATAGAAACCCAGTGGAAAGGCATTTAGAAAAATGCCCTGTTTTTTTGCAGTTCAGAGAAATTTTGCAGGAAGAAGGACAAAAGAGAGTTGTGGTGCATATGACTGCACAGGTGTTTGTTTATTTGTTTGTTTGTTTGCCGGGAGGCGAGGTAATCTAGGAAATGGATTTACAGAATCCTATCCGTGATGGACTGTCTGGCCAAGTGATGGATGTAGAGCAAAACCAGGCAGCCCTGTTTGCTTGAGCGACATCAGATACAAAATTTTCCTGCCTTTACACTGCTACAGGCAAATGTTTGAGTCTTTTGTTCTACATTTACTACCTTTTTACGTAATTTTTTAGCTCTGTTTCATACTTTGTTTGCTATATGTGGAAATGTCTGTGGTACAGGTAGTCCTTGACTTAATGACAACAATTGATCCCAAAATTTATGTTGCTAAGCGAGACTGTTAAGTGAATTTTGCCCCATTTTATGACCTTCCTTGCCACCACTGCACCTGTTAAGTTACTAAGACGGTTCTTAAATGAATCTGGTTTCCTCGTTGACTTTGCTTGTCAGAATGCCACAGACGGAGATCACATGACTCCAGGACACTGCAACCGTCATAAATATGAGTTAGCTGCTAAGCATCTGAATATTGATCATGTGACCATGGGGATGCTGCAATGGTCATAATTGTGAAAACTGGTCATAAGCTACTTTTTCAGTGGCATCATAACTTCAGACGGTCACTAAATGAACTGTTAGATGTCAAGGGCTACCTGTATTTTAATCATCAAAAGGACACACAACTCAATCCCATTAAACTAGGGTGAGGGGGTATTTTTTGTATTGTGGCTAGATGCTATACTTCCCTTTATCTCCTCAATTGTATAATTGTCATACATTCATTGATTTAAAAAATAGTTGGTTTGTTTTATACCTTAAGCCGTATTCAATCCTTTCTCTCCTTTTGCTCCCTGATTTCTATCTTGACTACACAGTTTTATGTGCTATCAAAATACCTTGACTATAACTTGTATTATAGACTATCTCAAGAGGCCATTGAAGCTGCTTTCATGTGGGAATTGCAATTTGCTGGTTATCCCTCATGAAAGCAGCTACAGTACTAACTTGCAGTTATAGTAGAAATTCTGCTCATTAAATGCTGTTGTTTGTTTCCATCTGCAGTGTGGAACGTTATGATCCCAACAAGGACTCCTGGGAATCAGTTGCACCCATGGCAGACAAGAGAATAAACTTCGGTGTTGGGGTTATGTTGGGCTTCATTTTTGTAGTTGGAGGGCACAATGGTGTTTCTCATTTGTCCAGCATTGAACGATATGATCCACACCAAAAGCAATGGACTGTTTGTCATCCGATGAAGGAACCCCGAACTGGTAATAAACTTCTCAGTTTATTATCTAAACTCCTCCTGTTCAGTTGAATTTTGTTGTTCCTTTTTTCATGTCACTTTGGGAGCAATTAAGTCTTACGGTTAATAAAAAAAAAATCATCACTGAGTTCCCCCTTACTGTGCTAATTCAGTGCAAATGGGATATCGTGTAAGAATTCTCCAAAGTGCTATTCAGTTGTCTTTTCCTAAAAAACAAACTAACTTATCCTTGCTAGGATAAATATATATATAAAAAAAACCTGGAAAAAAGAAGAGGGAGATATACTTGAACAGTATGTATATCATCAGTACTTTAAGACACGGGCAAACTGTTTACAACCAAAGACTGCATTTCTTTTTTTTTTCCCTCTGAAAGCAAAAAGAACATGGTGATTATATTAATAAAGATGGTGGCACAAAACATTGGATCATTTAGGATTTCAGAGGGCTTCCTAGCACAAAATACATTAAACTTAGTTTTGTGGGAATGTAGATAGACAGCATGTCTATTCTAGAGTTAGACGTTTTTGTGGTTGAGTAGTAATATTGCTTAGATATTCATTTGATACTATTCTAGATCTTATAGCTGTTAATGAATCCAACTAAGCTGATTTTTTCTTACTCTTCTAGTAACTTCTATTTTTACAGGATCCTTTCCTGTGAGGCAGTTATCTATTTGGGAACTACTACATATTTTTGAATTTGCAAACATAACTTTATGTGTATAATATAGAATCACCCTTATTTCCATCCTGCTACTTCATTATTTGGCTCAGGTGTTAGGGTCACAACAGATCTCTGCAAACTATAAAGCCCAGTCTGCAAAAGTAAATCTTCCTCTGGAAATACCACATTCTCTTCTCCTTCTTGTCTTGGGCTTGCAGCTAACAGGCATAGCGCAGGCAAATTTTGCAGAGTCCAAGGAGAGGTTGAGCTTATGAAGAAATAGGTACACAAGAGAAATGACTGGAGAAAGGATGACATAAGGAATAGGTGGCTGTCCTTGTGAGGTTTTTGATGTTCACAGCTGAAGCATTTCTGGAGAGACAGCCCATTAGCAGCCATTTACTTATGAGGCAAACATTTTGATAGAAACAGGACTTCCCTCTCTGTTCAGCCTGATATCCAGTTTAGCAGAAAAAGCTTCCAAGCTAAGTGAAAATTTTTAGTTGATCAATTCACATACTTCTCAAGTATCAATTGCCACACCAAACAAACATGACACACAGAGGCCCCTCCCATGACCTCTGTTTCATTCAGTTTAACAATGACAACATCCTTTTCCCAATGTCTTGAGATGGCATTTAAAAAAGAAAATGAGAAAAGATAGAATCTCAGACTAACCAGAACATATACTCTCCCAAATCCCATCAGCATACACATGCAGTCTTCAATTCCTCAGTTGCACCTAGGAAATCATGTGGAGGAATTTGTCAAGGATATAACAGACAAAATTGCTTGGATCCGTTCTCAACTGGAAACCAAGCTTGGAGCAGATCCATTGCAGGCGTGTCAAACTGGCAGCTTGCAGGCCAGATGCGTCACACGCAGGCCACACCCACCCCAGCTCCTTGAAGGGAAAACTGTTGTGATATGTCACATGACCCTGAGTTTGACACCCATGCATTAGAGACTTACCTGATTATCTTGGAGCAGTTTGATTCTGTTGGATCTGAGGAAGTGGACAAGGTCCTCAGAGCTGTTATTGCAACTGTTTATTAGATCCTTGATTCTAGAGAACAGAGCTATTTCAATCAAAGCTTCAAGGATAAATTGCTGCTTTCTTCCTCAGCCAAAACTCTTTATGGCAGTAAAAGCATAATCTAGAGACCAAGAATTTGTTCCAGAAAGCATTTTCTGCCTAACCTATTTTCATGATATTGGAGTAATATTTGGCCATTTCTGTTCTGAGTTTCCTGTACTATTGTCTTTTGCTAGGCTCTATGATAGAGAAGGGCAGTGAAGAGATGAGTTAAGGGAGAATTTTATAGGTGTTCCTCCCTCCCTCAAGAAAACACCTGATCTTTGGACATTTTCCACCCTCCACATTACAGCATTCATGATGATGATGATGATTAGGTTTTTACTTGCCATATATATGTGTGTGTGTCTGTGTGTGTGTGTGTGTGTGTGTGTGTGTGTGTGTGTGTATATATATGGGATGCAGGATATATATACATATATATATATATATGAAGATGGTGAATATACGTAATACTCCTGCATCCCATTTTCCTCATAACGACCACAAGCTCTTTAACACATTTAAATAATTGTGGGGTTTTTTTAGTTTGCATGTTTGTCCTATGAAAAGGACTTGATTTTGTAATGTTAAATATATAAATATATTTTCTTTTTTCTTCCCCAATAGGAGTTGGTGCAGCTGTAATTGATACATATCTGTATGTAGTTGGTGGACATTCAGGGTCGTCTTATCTTAATACCGTACAGAAATATGACCCTATATCTGATAACTGGCTGGACACTGCTGGTATGATGTACTGCCGTTGTAATTTTGGCTTGACTGCACTTTGAAGAATATGTTTGAGGATGCAAGTAGCACTGAAGATGCCCGACCTGTACAAAGCAGAAGCTGTATTTCTTCAAGATGGGAGAAAGGAGGAATGACTTAATTGTAATGCAAACAGGTGAACCCCAAATGAGAATTGGATATTGCTGATAGGAAAGAAAAGGAAGGAGGGAATATGGAACTGTCTTTTTAACGGGATCCAAATTGCACACTGTTATTGATCTGAAATAATTTACCTTGATAAAAGAAGCACTGTGTTGCCTGCAATAGGCAAAAAAACCTCCCAAACTCAGAGCTTTGATCTTTATCTTCCTGTGACTGGAATTGCTAAAGGGGTGGGATTATTTTACTGTGTTGCACAATCTTTCTAGATGTCTGTCTCCATATTTACATAGAGACCATGATTGCTTCACTTTTTTTTATGAACAGTTAAAGGGCTGCCTTTTCCCTCCACACATTACACAGGTTTTGTAAATATCTGATACTGTAATTTGTTTATCTGCACTTAATACGCCTCCTTTCGAAGTGGAGAGATAATTTACTGGAGGATAAGAATGGATAGCTATTTTCAGCGCAATGCATTTAAAGTTTTATTTTTATTCTTCTACTATGTACCGATCTATCTGTACATCTAAAAGGTAACCATTCTTGCCCTTTATCTGAAGGCCTACAGCTTTTAAGCTGGTTAGGGAAAGCCCATGTGGCTTGGATTTTATTAAAATAATGTGTAATGATATGCCAGCACCTATGTAAATGTTCCAGAAAGAAATATCTTCCACCTCTGTGCATACATTTATGGCATGTAGCCAATGAGTGACTACAAAGAATGTACAACCAAATTTTCAGTGTGTACTGACCTTGACATGGTGCTAAACAATTAGATTGCTGAGATTGGTAGAAATGTTAAGAGGGATTGATTGAATATGAACAGGATTGAATTCAAGGCAATTTTTTGACTTTTTTGTCATTGGTGATCTGGAAGATATATAATGATAGCTACTAAATTGAAATATAACTCTATTTTTCTTTTCTATTCCTGTGAGATTATCAAGCTTTTCTTATGCTAATATTTCTTAGATGAGCATGTTTGGTGAACAGAAGAAGCCTGAACAGATTAGAGAATGAAGGGAGTATTGATTTCCTTAGAAATAGTTCTCCTTTAAAAATGAATTAGATAACAATACTGGATATTTATCTCTGCATTCTTAGCAGCTCCCCCAAACATTGCTTTGAGATATCCTAGAACTCAGCAGAACTTTTTAGTAATGATTGGATTGTTCTGTAATAGGACAATTCCTCTAATAAATTGAACTTTGGTCATCCATAGATCACCCTGAAACTCACTGTTAAGGCTCTAAGAGAACAAAGCATGACCCTATTTTTTAATATTATTTAATAATGATAACTGAAACTGTTTCTGCAGTTTTCTCTTTCAGGTACTTTTCAATGTATATTTCTGTTTTGTTGAAAGAGTTGTACTTCATTCTTGTCTGCCTTTTCTCCCTTTGAAAGTACATTTCTCCTCATCTCCCTTTAGCATGATTTTTGGTAGTGTTCACAAACATGCAATAATAAGATGTTTGGCTAACTTGTATTTCGAGCCTTTTACTTCTGTCTACACGAAAGGGGAGATTATGGACTAATAACTTGTGCTCTGTAATAAGAATGGCAGCTAATCAAGCTGCAAAAGCTCTTCTTCTTCCATGAGCTAATCAATGTTCTAATTAAAACCAGAAGAGCACACTTCTTAAACTACTTAACATCATTTTTCTACCAACACTTGAAGATGTTATCAAATCCTAAAACTCTTGTTTAGGTGTTTGTGGAGTTAAGCAGAATTTTGAAGCAACTAACCATGAAACAAAGCAATTTGTAATATGCTAGTTGATATCTGTTATGCAGCAATAATATCATAATGCAACATGTACATTGATTTTTTTTTAATGCATGGAATTGTGTGCTTAGGACATTCTCATTCATTTCAGTGAAACTCGTTTGAGAGATCTGGATTCTGAAGAAAGCAATCATATGTGACAGAAGTAATTGCTTGTTGTGAATCAACGGCTATTCAGTTTGCATTCACAAAAAAAGCATATATATATATTTGTCTTAGGTCTTTCTTCAAGCTGCCTTTGAATTTAGAAAAAATATATTGATGCTTGGTACTTGTTTGAGAAGTTGCTCACATAGTGAAAAATCTGGGAATCTGACAGAACAGCTCTAAACAAGGAGAGAGAGAAAAGGGATCACGAAGTGGAAAATGCTTTTAAAAAATCCCATTGTAACTGAAGGACTTAAGAAGAGTTCATCTGATTATCTGCCTTGTTCGTGCATGTTTTGCAAAGCATCCACTCAAACTGCTTTGACTGGCAGATCTGAACATCAGAGTTAAGGACATGTTTTGCTTCTGTTTTAAAAAAGGAGTGCAGACCGTGACATTTGATACTCTTCAGTACCCCTTTTGGGTGATGGCATGTACCCAGTAAGAAGTCAATCACTCTAAATATAGCACTTTTTGAGTTATTAGTAATCTCCAGGCAGTTTGAAGGTAGCCGTCATTGTGCAGTTCAGCTAAGGACATTGTTGATTTAGTTGAGTCTGATATTTGTCCATAAGGAGATTTGATTGATTGCTTTAATTGTGTAGAGCATCTGTATTAACAATGACTTAAGGCACAAATAGCTATTTTAGTCACAATTAGATTAATTCACTAGTGCAGTAGATACTATCTCTGTAGCAAGTACAGGGAATAATACTATATTTAAATAAACTCATCATAGTCACTTCTCTTTCACCATTCACTGAACTGCTCAAGTATAGATAAATTGGACAACCAATTTTAAAATTTGTAGGCTGCAATAAGCTGCTTATAGCTCAGCATTACAGAGAAAGCCTTTCCTAAAATAGTACTTACCTTAACATCTAATTCCACAAAACCATTCAAGTGACTTACTTAATGATTAAGCAAAAGCACTTTAACATTTCCTGGCTGTTTATTTTTAGATTTTTTTTCTTTGGTTTGGAAGAAAAATAATCCACAGCTTTGTACATAGGTAATATAGGGTAGCATTATATAAGTACGGTAATCCTCAACCTCACGACCATGATTGGGATGGAATTTCCATCACTAAGTGAGGCTGTTGCTGACTGAGGTATGCCCAATTTTATGATCTCTTTTTGCTGTGGCCATTAAGCAAATTGCTGCAGTCATTAATTGAAGCTGGCTTCCCCCATTGAATTTGTTTGTCAGAAGCCAGCTGGGAAGGTCTCAGATGGTGATCATGTAACCGTGGGATGCTGCACCCATTGTAAATGAATAGGAGTTGCCAAGCACCCACATTTTGAGCATGTGACCATGGAGACACTGCCACAGTCCGAAGTATGAGGAACGGTCATAAATCACTTTTTTCATCCCAGTCATCACTTTGGTTACTAAACAAATGTAGTTAAGGACTACCTGTAATCTTGATTGAAAGCACAACTCCAGAACCAGACACTGGTTCCAGTGCCAGCATCTGTTGTTGTAGAATAATTTTTCTTCTCATAATACACTTTTCCATTCATGATAAATGAATATTTATGAGAGATAGTTGGCACCTTGGCTGGGTCTTTTTTTCAGTCAAGAAATATTAAATGGAATAAAAGGGTTCCTGGAGATATGTCAGTAGGATCAGAGCCTCACAGTGATTAAATATTTTTGTTATGTGGCAAACCTAGGCAGTCTTCTATTTCTATTTTTTTCTTCTCTGTTTTATCTTCTACCCCATCTACCAAGGTTCATTTGTTAACTCCTTCCATTCTATAACAGAATATGAGCTCACTCTCCTACTTGCCTTAAATCCCCTTTCATTCATGAAAGAACTGGGAAATAATTCATTTTCTTTGCCTTACATGCTAATCTGTGTTTTCACTTCTGTGACCCAATTCTAAACCTCCATACACAGTAGCTTTTGGTAAGATTCTCACCTGCACAGAGGGATTTATTGTGGATGTTAGGAGATGGGCAGTGTTGTTTTATGTTGCATTCTCCTACCAGCAGAGTTTCATGTTCTTTCTCTCTCTGCCATCTTTCTTTACAAAGATGGTAGTTGAGTAAGAAGCCACCACATAATTTTCTCCTTTGTTTGCTAAATGTGGTCATGTTCTGTTGTTATTGCTACAGCATTTCATTTGAATGTGCACTGTTTTACTAAATAAATTAATGAAGACAAAGTTTGGTTGTAATTTTTTTAAATATCTAACTTGATTATCTTCATCTTTAAATACCACAGATAAGCCAGAAATATTCATTGGTAAACACACTTTTATTGGGAGGGTTGAGGGATTTCAATCAAGCTCACAGCCATAATGTGGCCTGTAATGGACATAAGATCTGCAAAGGCATCACTTTCATAATTACAATTGTATGTAACCAATTTAAAGTTAAAGAGAAAGGCAGGATGAAAGAACATACTTTCTGGATAAAGAATGATGGAGGGTGGGTGGAGGATATAAAGGATTTAAATTTTCAGCAGAAAATTTAATAGGAATCATCAAATGTTCAAAATGGATAAATGGGACAGTAACTTTGAAATATTAAATTTGGTAAAAGTTTTTTTTTTTAAATTGAAATTAAACAGGCAAACAGACCTGACTTTTATGAGACTGTTATTTATTTATTTTTTTAGCAATTAGAGCATAGACAATTGGTAGATTTTTACAGAATAAAGATAATGTGAGCCAGATTGGGATAGTGACTGCAACTATGAAGTGTCTGGCCACAGTCCGGCGGAGTCCTTGGTCACTGCTTGGAATATAGCAGTGGCGGAGGCTCTAAACCGGATTGCGCCTTTACGGCCTCTCCGCGGCAGTGGATCCAGGAGGGCTCCTTGGTTTACCGAGGAACTCCGGGAGATGAAGCGCCAATAGAGACACCTAGAGTGACGTTGGAGGGCTAGTAACTTTGAATCTGACCGAACACAATTAAGAGCCTTTGTTAGGACTTATCTAGTGGTGATACGGGCGGCAAAATGTGTGCATTTTTCTGCTCTTATCGCATCCGCAGAATCGCGCCCAGCCGCCTTGTTTAGGATAGCCCGCTCCCTCTTGAAAGGGAGGGATGCGGACAAACCTCTGCAGGGTAGAGCTGGGGAATTTGTTCAGTTTCTGTCGGATAAAATTGCTCGGATTCGGAGTTACTGGCCCTCCAGTGTCGCTCTAGGCGTCTCTTTTGGCGATTCATCTCCCGGAGTTCCTCGGTAAACCAAGGAGCC